GAACGAGTCTTCTGTCTAAGCGGAGGAAAGAAGCTTTACTGGCTCCACATGCGACCCGCCAGAGGAGATGGTCTGATTGGACTCAGGAGGACCTGCTGCATGGATTTACATAGTGATTAGAAGGAAAACTGGAGTGGCTCTCCTTTGCGACTGTGATGATGTTTATTTCCAAAAAGAGAAGACGAATCAGAACAAGAGTTTGTCATATCGTAAGAAACATGGCGGAGGATTCTATAATATTTCAAATGGCTTTTTGTTATCTTGAAAGAGCTCCTTTGTGTGAGAACATTCTTCTATTGGTGTCCTATTAAATTTGCATAAAGCCGAGCTGCCTGACCCACCTGTGGCAGGAGAAATTTAGGACAAAGCAGCTGGAGATATTACAGTCAATAAGTCAAATGTATTATTTAGAAAAGGAACATAAATACATCAGATTACTGCAGTGTTTAAATCTATACTACGCATACCACTGGACCCCTGGGACTGCTAGGGGATCACTCAATGATCAACAAACTAACTGTCATGGTCTGCGTCAGCCCCTTCCTTCATGTGCCTCCTGATGTTCCTCCATCCCTCTCTAGATTCCCTTCTGTATCTCATAGCGCCCTCATGTGTCCTTTGTCTGCGTCTCAATTATGAGTCTTATGTTTGTAGCCCTTTAAAGTCAATTCCTCCCAGGTCCTGTGTCATTCATTCATCCCCAGCCCTCCAGGTCTTCCTTCACATTCTGTAGCTCCAGCCTCTTTGTCCCCTGCTCAGTGTTTTTGTGTGTGTGTGTGTGTGTGTGTGTGTGTGTATGTCCTTCCCTCAGTCTTAGGTTTAGTTTTATGTTTTAGGTCTGTCTGCCCTCCACTGGTTCTGTTTTCCCCATTTAGATAATTTGTGTCACCTGCCTTCCCTCCAGCCCTCACTCCACACACCTGCTTCCTGTTTACTTAATTGTTCTCCATGTGTATATAAGCCTTGTCTTGTCACTCTGTGGTTGTTGGTTCATTGTCCTGGTCAGCGTTGTTTTGTCTCCATTCTCCATTCTCCAGTCTCCAGTCTCCAGTCTCCTGTCTCCTGTCTCCTGTCTCCTGTCTCCTGTCTCCTGTCTCCTGTCTCCAGGTCTCCAGGTCTCTGCTCAGAAGGTGAGCTTTTGGTTTTTGGATCTGAGTTTAGTTATTAGGTTTTTGTCTTCACCCGTTGGATTTTTGGTTCTCTTCCTAAATGAAGGATTTGTGCTTTTCAACCGCTCCTGCCTGTGTATTCTGGATTTCCTGCACCTTGGGTCCAAACCTCCTGCTCTCAACGTGACACTAACAGTGCTACTTTATAACCTTGCTTTCGGTGCCAGAGCGATTACAGACTCTGGCATTTTACAAAATGACCCAATGAGTCAGATTAGAGGAGCAGACATCATGAGGTCAACACGATCCGTACACTTGTGCACCAGCCAGAGAAAATGTAAAGGTTCAAAGTTCATGAGGAGCGTCCGCTTTACAAAAATGAAAATGTTGAATTTTCTTAACCAATTTATGTCAACGGGTTTCTCTGAACCCAGCTGCTAAGTGTTTGAGACCTGGTGCCAAGTAAGGGGTGTGTGCCTTTCTGTCTTTCCTGCAAGAGTTGCTGGATGATAAGAAGGCCTTCTCTGCTATTAAAGAGTACCTGGCAGCCATTTCAGCCCATAACCATATTGGGAAGAAACTGGTAAACCATCACTCCCTGGTGTGGAGCTTCGTGAAGCGAGCACACAGGTTTCTCTCTGTGTCTCAGTCTCAGATGCCTTCTTGGGATCTGTCCTTGGTGCTAAACCTCTCCACGGGCCCCCATTTGAACCAGTGGATGACCCGGACCTTAAAATTTGACCTTTTAAGGCGGTGCTGCTCCTGAAATTCTTATTAGCAAAGCAGTTCAGTGATGTGCAGGCACTCTCAGTGCACACATCCTGCACCCAGTTTGCACCAGGTGATGTGAGGGTGTCTCCGAAACCCAACTTCGTGCCTACAGAGGTGGCAAGCTACTTTTCACCCATTCGCCCCACACCTGTCTACCTTTTGTCTTTTCCCTCACCTAAAAAGGAACAGTTGCCAATCTAAGAGCCTTCACAAATGCGACCAGCTCTTTGTGTGATAAGGCGGACCCTTCAAAGGCAAACCCATTTCTACTTCATCCACATGAACCATGATGCTCTTGAGTTGGGAATTGCTGGGCGGAGGTCAGTGTGTTGTAGCTGCATATGAAAGGGTTTCATCAGTTAGCTTTGTTTCTTTTTTAATGTTGATCTGACAACTAAATCTGCAAATTAGTGAATCGAACACCTTGAAGTGACAAAAGCTGCTGCAGCATTCAGAACACACAATTAGTCTTCCGCTGGAGGTACCCGCTGCTTTATTCTAAGATTAAAGCGCTTGTTTGTTAAAGGCTGAACAAAAAGCAACAGTAATAAATACACTTTGTGCTCCAAGCAACTAGGAGGAACAAAAACAGAGAAGTATAAAAGCCAGCAAGAGTCAGTTTGTCAAAAGATGGAAATAAAAAAGGGAGGAGAAAAGCGATGTTCAGCGCCTTGGGCTTCCTGACAGGGTTGCGGAAGGCGCTTTATAAATAAAGCTTTGATTGATTGATTGAAAATTAATTTATTAAGCATTTGCATATAGCAGGTCTTAAATGGAGTTCAGGTTTCCTCAGTTTCCTCTTCTTAGGGTCTCTAATGACCTTCTGACTCACAGTGATGCAGATGACTGTTCTGTTCTGGTCCTGCTGGACCTGACTGCAGCCTTTGACACTGTTGACCATCACCTGCTACTGGAGAGGCTGAGAGACTGGGTAGGCCTATCAGGATCTGCTCTGGAGTGGTTCTCCTCTTATCTCTCTGAGCGCTCCTTTTCTGTGGCCATCTCCAAGTTTAGGTCCTCCACCACCTCCCTTACCCATGGTGTCCCACAAGGTTCTGTGCTGGGGCCTCTGCTCTTCCTCCTCTATCTGCTTCCTCTTCAGCACATCCTGAGCTCCTTCAAAGGAATCTCCTACCATCTTTATGCAGATGACATCCAACTGTACATCTCCTTTAAGCCCCATGAGATGTCTAAGCTGCAGCTGTTACACACCTGCTTAGACTCTATCAGAACCTGGATGGCTGGGAGCTTTCTGCAGCTGAAAGAAGATAAGACTGAGATCCTCATCTGTGCCCCAGACAAGCTGGTTCCCAAAGTCAGAGACTCTTGGTCAGCTTGCTTCTCACACCAAACCTTCTGTCAGGAATCTTGGTGTGACCTTTGACCCAGCTCTCACCCTGGATTATCATGTCAGTTCTCTTGTTCGCTCTTCCTTCTTCCATCTCAGGAACGTTGCTAAGCTGAGTCCCATTCTGTCCCGCTCTGAACTTGAGACAGTTCTCCACACCTTCATCCCCTCACGCTTAGACTACTGTAACTCTCTTTTCACATGTCTGAGCAGAACCTCCCTGAACCGTCTACAGGTGGTTCAGAATGCCTGTGCTCGGCTTCTGACCAAGTCCTCCAAACACACCCACATCACCCCGCTTCTCCTCCAGCTTCACTGGCTGCCAGTCAACTTCAGGGTTCATTTCAAGATCCTGGTTCTGGTCTATAGGGCCTTACATGGACAAGCACCATCTTACATTGGTGATCTTCTTAGTCCCTACACCCCCAGCAGGTCCCTGAGGTCCAGTGATCAAAGCCTACTGGTTGTGCACCACCAGGCTAAAGGTCAAAGGTGACAGATCATCTGCTGCTGTGGCCCCCAGACTCTGGACCTCTCTCCCCCTGAGCCTGAGATCAGTGGACTCAGTGGTCTCCTTTAAAAAGCAGCTGAAGACTCACTTGTTCAAGCTGGCTTTTGTATGACCTTCTTCACCTCTCTCTCTTTATTCTGCTCTCCCCACCTATTCCACCTTCCTCAGGATCCACTGATCTCCCTCTTTCCTGTTCACTCTCTCTCTTTCTTAACATGTTTTTAAATCACAATTGTCTATTTTTGCTCATTTTAAATATATTTTTAAACATTTTCTAAATGCTTTTTTATATTTTCACACTTTTTGTTTTTGTGAAGCGCCTCGTGATTTTTATCTTGAGAGGCGCTATAGAAATGATATGTTCTTCTTCTCAGACACATGATTACACATCTCTGTTGACAAAGAGAGAAAAACACCAGAGTCAAACCTCCTGGTGTTGCAGCTTCTTCCAGCTGGGGCTCAAAGATAAAAAACAAAACAAAAGTAAAAATAGGAAATTAGGTGAAATTACAAGAGTAAAATGAGGTCCAAAAACTGGAGATCAATATCTTCTGTGTAATTACTAGCTTCCTGGGTTGCTAGGAAACCAGGGATGAAGGAGGCAGAAAAAAGAGAAGATGGGATGGACAGAGAGGCTAATGCAAAGACTAATTTCAGGGTTGTGCTGATCCTCCACTGTGTCTCACTTTTGTTTAAATGACTTCAAGATGACAGACGACGAGGTGGAGGGGAGGAAAAATGTAGGAGAGTGGGGTGCATGAATAATTACTGAGATATTGACATTGACTGTCCCTTCATCGTTCCCTCTCTCCTTTTTTCTTCTCAATGTTTTTCTGTCATCCATTGGTCTGACTGCCCTGCACCCATCCTCATCTCCACCCGTCTCACCTTTCTGTGTCTGTCATCTTGATTTCTACCCTTTCCCTCCCTGCTCCTGCCGTGTCTTCATCACTAAATCTTCTCACAGCTGCAAACGTGAAACATCAAGAACACTCAGCTTTACAGCAAACACATTTAATGCTAACTGTTCTGTTCATTTACAGAAATCCTCACGGAGAATAAAACAAACGTCATTTCCAAGCATCAGACTCCAGGTGCGTTCACTTTATTGACTCGATTAGATGCTTTAAAGTGCAGCTTGTTGAATGTGACCCCACTGAAGTGCAACATTAGATGGCACGCTGTTTCTTTAAATGAAGAGGAGGGGAGGTAAAGGGAGGAGCAGGGAGAGGAGAGAGAGAGGAGGACATAGTAGAAAAAGAGGAGTTGTTGTGTTCATTCTCTCTGTTTTAGTAGAGGGGTGTGTGCATGAGGAAGGGTTTTTATTCTGTGGAAAACTGTGCATCTTCCCAGGATTTTTCCAAACAATTTAAGGAGGAATTATCCCACTTTCAGCATTCCTTAAGAGCATGATGGACGTGGAATCAACTTGGAGAAATCACTGACCTGTGGGTGGTTTTTTTCAAGGACCTGGAGATAAAAAAAGAGAAATTTTAAAATTTAAACTAGAATTCCTGCTTGATTTTTCCAAGACACTCGTTTTGAGGAGTGATTTTCTGAAAATCTGAAGTCGGTACACCGTTTTCTGGATAATGCCGAACAAGTCAACGTCAGGAAAAACACTCGGCAAATGTAGTCCACAAAAATTCCCATCAACCATTTCATCATAAACTACTTTTTGACAAATGTTTTAGCTTGTTGTTTATTAGTGAGCTAACAGGTGTTAAAGAACTTCCCATTACCTAAATCTTCTCCTGGGTTTTTAGGTGTGAATAATAAAGCAGCAGAGAGGAAAAGACAGATGGCACAGAAAGAAGGAGGAACAGGGCAGGGGCGTATCAAGACAGAGGACAGTTTTGGGGCCAAAGCCATGTCGGGGGCCCCCGCAGCGGGTGGAGGAGTGGTGGTGGAGGTCAGGGAGAAGAAGGGACCTCTACGGGCAGCAATACCCACAATGCCTTTCCCTCTGGCTGTCATTTGTCTCTTCCTGAACACCTTCATTCCTGGACTTGGTAAGTTTATGCCCTTCTCCTATCTCTCTCTCTTTTCTGATCTGATTAGACAAAAATTGTTAACTTAATTTGGCAGAAACTCAGATTATTTAACACAAGATGTTATAATTTTAAAGGGACATTATGGAAGTCTGACAGCCAAAACATGTATAGAAATAATAAATGTCTTCTTCATACATTCTCCTGCAATGCCCTGGTCCTGTAGAATGAGCCCTGGCATTTTTACTGTGATTGCCTGTTTTTCTGTAAAATCACAGAAAAAGAGAGCTGCTCGGGTCGAGCAGGCTGCTTCATGCGCGTTCACGCTCAGGCATCGCCCGTAGCATTTGCTATCCGTAGCTTTAGCAGCAGAGAGAGAGGCAGTGCCACTTTGTCGCTGTTCCTAACGCCTAGTGACAAAGCTAGCTACATTTCTGAGGACCCTTAGCTACTTTCTGTAGAACTTTCTTCTAGATATTTCCTGCTAATTAGCAACAAAATAGCCATTTTCACTCCGAACCGTTCTTTGAACGTTGTTTCAGCTGTCATCAAGGATATAAACGTTACAGATACAAAAGATGTCACTGGTGCTTTAGCTCACCTAGTAAGATGTCTGACTCTCATGCAGAAGACCTGGGTTTGATTCTGGATGTGAACATAGTTTATTTAGAGTTTCTTTTTTACATTAATGGTATATTTTTATACAGTAAGATGCCCAAATTTTTATTTGAGACTCGCCGAACGGCATTGAATTCACAGATAAAAAAGATGTGGGTTCAACTTTCATTTTGGAACAATTTTTCAAGCAAGGGAAGGGAATGATCTGAGCATGCAGGAGGACTGACCCATCATAAACCTTTGTCGCTGTGCTGAAGAGAAAGGTACAGAACCACATTATTTAATTAATTAACTGCGTGTTCTCCTGTCCTCTGTCCTCCGGGCCACACACACACACACACACACACACACACACACACACACACACACACACACACACACACACACACACGGGACTGTCTCAGCTGTTATTTTCGTTAAGGAGTGTGCACGTACAGCATGCGCACCTCGTGCACGAGCCTACTATTGAAGCTGCCGTTACGCTTTTGGCCTGAGGGGGCAATCGCGAGCATAAAAATTCAAAAGTCCGTAAAGTCCCTTTAATTATAAAAAAGAACTGACACTTAGCTCATCTGAAGTGTGTTTTACTCATTTAAGTGAACGTGAAATTAGACAGCATGAGACCTTGAAAGAATTGTCTTCAGTTATAGTGCCCAGGTGTGCATGCACACAGTTTACTGTAGGAGTTAATGCACTGCAGCTGCAAAGGTCACTTCTGTAGGTGTTAGAGAAACCTCGTTGGTGTCATCATAGTGGCAGTAATGTTCTCCGTGAGATCGGACACACAGTCATTATCACCGTGGAAAGACTCATCATGGTTTGCAGCAGAATTTGCTCTTTAGTGACCTGCTGATCACCAGATTAGCTGGCATTAAAACACCACCTGGACATGTTCTGATAGGATCTTATAAGTATTTCAGAGCATTTTTTACATTATTATGCAACTTTTCCTGATTTTTTTATTAGTAAATCACTTGGTAAAAAAAAAACTTTCGTCTTTTGTCATTTTTTGTAAACCTCTGGAGTTTTAAGATCTAATCATTAGCGAGTATATCACATGAGCATAGCATAGAAGTTGAAGCTGAAAAAACTCAAATGCCCCCTAGTGGTTGGCTCCAGTATATGTTTTCAATCCAATTTCCCTACTAAATAAACCCAGTAAATACTTATCAGAATAATATTGTGTTCATTCTAGAAGTTGCTGCTGTTCAAACATTTATTTTCTGATATCTTTCATTGTTTTGAGTCATTTGATGCCTAAAAACTCAATCATTCTTTGCAAGTGAATTGAGTAGGAAGGACGTCCAAACTCACATCACAGTTATGCGTGTGACATTTACCAACAACAGCAATAATGAAGGATGTTGTTTTCTGGGTTTTTGGTTAAATTGTGAAGACAAACGTCAAAAGGGATGTGTTAAAAGAGCAAAGACTCAAGGGTATTTTATTCCACTTTATGCTCAAAAAAGAGCATGTCGCAGCAGACAGTAGAGACAAAAAGTGTGGACGCTGGAAAAGGATTCAGTTCATTTAAATAACCGGTGTTTGCTTTTTTAAATAACTAGATAACTCACTTTGTGAAGCTAAGACACCACGTGCCCTGATGCAGGAATGTAAAATATATGAAGCGTTTCTTTTCTGTCATGCCAGGATGTCTGTCTTCTAGAAGCTGCCATGTTGAAGCTTTTGAATCAAACTTCTATAGGACCGGTTAAAAATAACATTCGAACATGCAGCATCAAGGTAAGAACCACTTGAATCAAAGGAGTCAACATTTAGAAAAGGGTTCTTTTACTTTCCAGTCTCATTCATTTGCACAGAGGGGGCGGGGCTTAAAATTTGGGGACAGTTCGGTTCTGGCTTCAGTTTGCCATCCAACTTTAGAGAAATAAATGGTTAATTTTACAAACGCCGAACACATTCCACATGGTAATAATACCATATTTGGACTCTGTTTGCATTAAGAAAACCAAACATAAAAATCCTTTCGTGCTCTCTGACAACCTTGTGATTGTTTGTGTGAGCAGACAGGAACCAGATGCGGGTTGTTATCTAATGCAATCATGCATTAGCCTCCCATTCACCTTTTGCTCCACAGTGCCAGAGCTCCATCCTTCACTCGGTCAGAGGTTCAGGTTTGTGAGTGCAACACAGTCACTGAACTGATCAATTAAATTGTAGATTTCAATTCATTTTAGAAATAAAAATAAAGTGTTTAAAGTTAACATAAGGTGGAAAACAAGAAAAACCAAATTTAAATGACATTTCTGGAGGGTGTGTAAGTAATTGCTGCTGTCCTCTTCAACATTATTTTTCACTTACTCTCACCCAAACTCTGCAGACTAACCGCTGCAATTAATCCTTAATTATTAAGAGGACTCTAAAATTTTATAAAAAAACAAAAACAAACAAACAATGTAATAATAAGGTCAGGAAACACTAATCTCCACTTCCTGACAGGAATGCAGCCGAGCGTATTCCACAAAGCGTGTCCTTGACTTGTGCAGAAAGCATTCACCTCAGCGTGTCTGAGTGTGTTCTCAACGTGTGTGTGTGTGTGTGTGTGTGTGTATGTAGGTCCACCTTGACATTTCATTGAATGGTTGCAGCTAGTTGCCATGACAACGATGACTAAATCTCTCTCTCTGTGTGTGTGTGTGTGTGTGTGTGTGTGTGTGTGTGTGTGTGTCAGAGTGTTTTGCTCTAATTGACTGAGACTGAATACAGCGCCCTGTTCGATTCAGCCTGCAGCCACAATAAAATAAAAAATCTTGAGTTGTGTAATTGAATTTGGACAGACCAGAATAAAACACCCCCAGATGCTTGAGCACAGGTGTAACAAATCAGCAACAGGATGTTTGTACGACATCACCTGACACATTTGCAGAAAAACAACTTAAGATTGCCAGTTTACTGAAAATTAAAGCATCTACTGGGGAAGAAATAAAAAAAAACTCTTCATTAACCAGCAGTTAATGATGTGTGTGTGTATATACATATATGAATATATGTTGTGATCACAACATGCCCTATAGGTTATAAATTGTAAGTCGCTTTGGATAAAAGCATCTGCCAAATAAATAAACAATAATAAACATATATATATATGTATATATATATATATATATATATATATATATATATATGTATATATATATATATATGTATATAGAGATATATATATATATATATATATATGTATGTATATAGATATAGATATAGATATATGTATATAGATATAGATATAGATATAGATATATGTATATAGATATAGATATAGATATATGTATATAGATATATATATTGGCAGACCAGTCCACCTATGCGAGTTTGTAATTATCCAACATAAATAAATCAATAATCAATAAATAGATTTCAGGAAGGCCAGTTTATAATGAGACATTCCCTAATGTCTCTCCTTACAACCAGCTGTCTGTTTGATTGATCTGTAAGATCCAAACATCCACCCCCAACCCTTTAATCCATCTGCTCATCTGATTTCGGATTCCTTTGACACAGGAAACACTGACTTCTTAAAGAATAACACCATCAGTTCAATGAACATGACAGAAGAATAAACAGCAACCAATCAGCATCCTGCTGTGCTCAGCCACAGGAAAATTTTCTACTGGCTGCTCACGCCTTTCTGTGACTCCCCAGGCATTAAATGACACACGGAGGAGCATGCCGAACTATTTTTAGTTAGTGTTGATTTTCTCCAAAGACTACAGCTGAAAAATGTGGCTGACTAAACCGCCACCTTGAGCTAAAATGCTCTAAAATAAACCAGACTGACTTATTTTTATTGATTGGGGAATGTGAAAAGCACAGAATCAACTTAGACTGAAACCGGATGTTGAATGTGGGTTCCGGACATTTCTAAGTGAATCCATGCCAGGGCGGAGTGAGTGACAGTGGGGTTAATATTGAGTGGGTGGCTGTGCTAATGACATTTCTATCAGTGTCCTTTTCAACTTGCTTGCATGTTATTTTTTTATTGTTGGAATAGAAATCTGAGCATACCCAATATTAATTTCATTAATACTTGTCTATCGCTGTGCTGCAACCTATATTAAACCGTGAACCTCTGCACGAGCTACAGAGCCGCGATCAGTAATTTCTAACCTGTTCTAAAAGTTTACAGGTTGACTTTTCCCTCAAAAGGGTCACAGTGTTGTCACCGGCTGCTGGAACCCACCTCAATATTTTTTGATAGACAGAAAGTGTGAGAAAAAGTACTTCTACAAATGCTGATTAATGCACAAACTGTGAATTCATTAGCATCTGTGGGTCAAACTGTCTAATTGTCATAAATTATCCTTCCTCTGACAACACCGTGACTATTTAGGATTATAACAACAAGTAATAGTGAGCAAATAGAGATTGTAGCACAAATGTTGAAC